TTCACATGATAACAGGATGTCACAAGCGAGTGGGCCCGAGAAGGCTTACACAAACCATCCTGTCATCATCTCATTAATGTGATTAAGTATAATAAGCCACCGGTTCATGACTTATGTCATAAACTAATTCTAATCATCCTAATGTGTGAGTTCTCGAAGACAAGTTTTAAAGGTTTAGGCCCAACTAGGTAATGACTCACAACTAATTCATATTCACTAGAATAATTTTTCTAGTTGTTGTTTTATTTTGTTTTGTCATGACCAAGGTTCTGAAAAGCGGTTGTGGTCACCGTAACGCTGGCGCGGTTGCGGTTGCGGGGTGTAAAGGCCATAGCGTAACGGTTGCGGTAATCGGAACCGTGATTTTTTTTTTATTTTTCGCACAATTTGAAAAAAACTTACCGATACGTATATTTTTTTTCCATGATCATATTTATTGGGTTTAAAATAAATATTAATCAATTTTTGTAAATTTTTAAGTATAATCCAATATATTTCATATTTTTAATTACTACAAACTGAGTTTTTTTACATTTTATTTTAATAATTAATGAATTTATATTATACAAAAAATCAATTACTAACTATTATATATAAGATAAATAATGACAAAAGTAAGAGAATAAATAAGAGCCTAAATATATACATATATATACATATTTTAACCAAGCCAAATAGATAATGACCACACTTATTATTATTATTTTCAAACAATATATAGATAGAGACACACAAACAAAATGGTTGAGTGATAGCAGTTGAATAGAATAGCATAGGTTTTACAGCTTCAACAAATCAATAACATGTTCTTTATCTTCCCTCTTCTCACTCTCTATCTCTTGCTCCTCCATTTTCTTTCTTTATCTTTCCTCTTCTCTCTATCCCTCTTCCCCCATTCTCAGTTTTTTTTGTGTGTTTTTTCGAAAGAAACAGTTCGGAACCGTTACGTAACGGTGCGTAACAGGTCGTTACGGCACCGTTACAATCGCTACAGCAGCTGCTATAGCCGACACACCTGTGAATCTCAATCACACTGCAAAAGTGGCCGTAACGGGTGGCGGTAACCACCAAAACAGTTACGTAACGGCGTTACGTAACGGTTGCGGCCGCTTTTTAAAACCTTGTGTACGCCTAAGTCGCAAATTTAATTAGTAAGTGCTAATCCCCTACACCTTCAAGTCAATTTTATTCTCCATACACCTTAATGCATCTAGTTGAAAGATGACGATGCTCCTCTTACCATCTCTGTTTCTCGCTTCATAGTTACTTGTAATTAATTCTACTATCACAAGAAGGAGAGAATAAGCTATCAATCTATGACAGCTTCCACAAGTAATTTAAGCGCGAATTGGGCTAAATAGTCTAATTCAACACAATGCTCTCACGAGTCATGCGTCAAATTCTTAGAGTCATAACAACCTTGTCGGCCTTGACCTTTTCATTACTAAGCTGCAACGTTCGCGCTTAGTGGTAAACGTTATTCAAAAGATGTTAGCCTAGCTAAGGAATCATACAAAAAAGCACCTCCTCATGTCTCACACTCAAATCTAGAAATAGTAAGTGTCCAGACTTAGACAAGTTGACAATGGTAATAGATTTTGCAGCCACTTGGCGCTAATCTCTTCACTTAGTGTTAATAGATTTTTCTGTTACTAAGTGCTAATATTTTAACTTCAAGTGATACTTTAATGCACACTATTATAATGCTTGAAATTTTGCTCCATCCACTCCCAATAGTTGGATAGAGAGCAAAACACTGCCTTTACTAGCTACTCATCTTACACTTAATGACTAATTCATTTAAACTCGCATTTCTTGGATGACGTGACCCTTGAATGTTACTTCATCCAATGATGCAACATCATTACAAGTCAAATTACAAAGTCAATCCGCGCAGTTCAATAGTCAAGATCATATACAGATCTATTGAGGGCTTACTAATTTCACAACTCCAAAACTCGCCAACCAAAACTACGTAGCGTGCCGCTAACCATAGCGCACACATTAGTTTTTATTGTGCCAAACAAGGCAACAAAACCACGGCGACTTTGAGTCATGTTTCCTTACTTTAGCTCAATTAAGGTCTGACCTAAAGTTTTCAAGATTTTTGCTCATCTAAAGAATAAGATTACATTGTTCACATTTGAACATCTCTACTAAGTCTAAGTCAACCAAATTAACTTCCATAAGCTAAGTCAATTTAGAAAGAAATTCGCATTGGGATTAATTTGATTAGCATAATATAATTTTACCGCAAAAATCTAAATTAAATAGTGACAATAATACGCAAGTCGCAAGATCGAAAATCCGCTATGCTCGTAATCATCTCTTGCGCCACAGGTGACAATTATCCAAAATTTAATTTAATTCATGCGCAAAATATTAGTTTTCGGGAGTAAATCTACAAAGATTTCTCTCAACTGAACAACCTCCCACTGATTATGGCATGTCTTAAAAGCATGATAAAATATTCTAATTCCATACAATAGCATCATAATGTAGATTCACAATCAACTCATGCTATGTTACAATTAATAATGCAATTTAAACAAATAACAAAAATGATCATGCTATTCGAATCACAACATATTAGAAATTCTAGGCAAAAAACAACCATATGCTGTATTTAATATTCAGATTATGCCATAACAGAAAGTATATCACTTCTGAAATTTTCTGATATTTTCTGGAATTTTAAATAATTAATAAACACACATGAAATCATAAATAAATATTCCAGAATCTAAGAAAATGCAACAACCATACCAGTAAATAGTAAACCATAACAGTAGTCTACAATAAAAAATTCAGCCCCAGAAACTTAATCATGCAACACTAGATGCATTTTAAAGCAGAAATAATGAATTATTATTTTAGAATTTTTTTTTTTTATTTTCATAAAATTTTGAAGTTTTTTCAAAAGTTAGAAAATTTAATAATGAGTCTAACAGTACCAACCACGCTTAAAACAAAGCTATAACACATTACTTATGACCATTTTAACGCAATTCTGGATTTAAAAAAAAAAACAAACAGACCCTTAACATCAGCAGCCAAGCCGGCAGAGAAAAAGCGGCGCGGCTCAGCGCGCTGCTTAGAGGCGGCTCAGCAGGCTGCTCAGCGAGGCTCAACGCATGGCGCAGCACGCAACTCAGTGCACGGCGCGGTCGTGCGCAGCGCGGGGACAGCGCGGCTGACGCGCGAGTGATGGCGCACGTGAAGCGCGCTTGGTGAGTGGCAGCGCGTGGATGCGTGTGGAAGCCGCTGGGCGGCGTCATATAGCGCGTGCAGCACACGCGCCGCCTTCCGGGGTGTTTTCTGGTCTAATTTTGGTACTGCTGGACTCCATTTTTCACAACAAAAACATTTATGGTCTCAAAAATGACATTTAATGAACATAAAAATTGAGGTGTATAACACTCTCAATCTAATGAGAGTGGAAGTGCAGAAACCCTGCACTTCATCTTCCTCCTTCATTAATTTTCATGCATATAATGTGTATATATTTATATAAAATTATACACATGATTAAAGAAAACACGAAAATACACATATAAGCTCTGATACCAATGTTAAATCAAAGTATTATAACACAGCGGGAAAAAAATTTAAATCATACCTTTAGGTGATAGAACCTGAAGCGAAGAATCTTGTGGGTAAATCACGTGCTTCTAAAATGTGAACAACGAACACCCAGCAGTGGAGTGATACTATAATATGAGTATCACCCACACAAGTCACAGTGCAAAGGCTGAATCGTTCTCTTCGTGGGAGAGAGTTAGAGAGAGAGTCAGGGAAAAATGTTATAGATAAAAACCACATAACGTATCTGATATTAATCTATTATATAAATATATAATCAAATATATAACCATATATATCAATCTATCCATATCAGTTGATATGATAGATATAGATATCATGAGTGGTTATCTAAATTAGTTTTGAACTCAAATTCAAACTTACATGGATAAGGTTCAAAAGGTTCAAAGGGTCATGCCACATGGGCGCCCAATTTCTAACAGTAGGTATGCCAGTGTCATATACGAAGTGTTTCCCTTGGTTATTTTGAGCAAATTGATGCATCTCAATAGGGCCTTGAATATGAGATAAGCTTCCAAAGTTTCCATGACTTACATTTATAGATAAAAATATTATATTGTCTGCAAACTACAAATAAGACTCGGACTAGTTATTCAACTTAGCAAGAATGAAGAATCCCTGAATACCTCTTCTCCTTGGCCTTCTAACTATGCAACTCAAAATATTTGCGACAGTGATTATAAAATGCTTATCATATTATATGAGCTCCATTGGTTATAATTGCAAAACCAATTACAGAAAATACAGCCCAACATTTAATTCCTCTGTTTTCAGGACCTCTGATCTCTAAAACAAACTTGAGGGTTATCTTGTTAACAAGCTTGTCTTCTCAACATGCCCTTTTACACTGGGCCTGCAATCCTCTTTACATTCATTGATTGTTAGTGGTAGCATGTTTTGTTTCTTGCCAATGATCCAGGGATGCTATGGGGTTGTATGATTAATCACTATCCAAACAAATGGAAGTTCTTTGAAGAGACCTTTGTAATCATCCTCTGGCATTAACCATTGCTATTCTTGTCACTAAAAGGGCGCATTCCTCTCCCCCCCCCCCCCCCCCGCCGTATTTTGAAACATTATGTTAGTTGCAGATGATTGCTTCAGAATTTTAATGTTGTTTTGATGTAATACACCAAAAAAATTGTATCCCTTAAGAATCATACATGTTCCTTTTGATGCAAACAGTTCAAAAACATTGCGAAAAATATGTGGAATATTTTCTGAGAAACCAGATGAGTGAAAACGATATTAAAAGTAATAAATTTCAGTTTGGAAAGCTTCTTTTTTTTTTTTTTTTTTCCTTAAGAAAGGAAAAAAGCATTGTTTAGACTGCATATTTTCCTTGTGGAGCGTTGAAATGATATCAAGTGGGAATTTCAAACTCTTCTCATTGTCAGGTTGATGGACTGATGGCATTAATGGAAGGCGAGCATGTTGGGCCATTTAATTTGGGTAACCCAGGGGAATTCACCATGATAGAGCTTGCCGAGGTTTGTCTTCCTTGAAATACTTAATAATTTTTTAAAATCCATATTAGTATGTCTGTGAAATGTTTCTAGTTTTTACTCCATGCTTAAAATTATTTTCTTCCTCAAAATATAGGTTGTGAAAGAAACTATTGATTCCAGTGCGACAATAGAATTCAGACCAAACACCGCTGATGATCCACATAAGAGGAAACCAGATATTAGCAAAGCAAAGGAGCTTTTGAACTGGGAGCCAAAGGTATCGCTACGTGAGGGACTACCTCTTATGGTGACCGATTTTAGAAATCGCATTTTAAATGAAGATGAAGGAAAAGGAAACAAATAGAAGCGACAATCAGCAGAGCCCCCCAGTATGTATAGAATGAAAATCATTTTCTTTATGTTGTTCAATCTGCTTACTAATCTCTTTTAAATTATCTTTCTGTTGTTTATCAGCATTCTGTTCTTTTGAGAGGCCAATTAATTTGAACTCCATTTTTTGGCTACTGTTCGGTAAGGATTTGAAGTAATTTTCTTGATTTTTCTTGTCTAACAACTAGTGATGAAATATTTGTTTTGATCATTAAATTAATGATTTAGAAGACTTGAGGGTACATTGTAAACTCAGGGGTGAACCATACATAAGTTAGAAAACCTGTTAGATCAATAAATAAAAATCAATCATGTGAAAATAGATTGGTTTGCAATGACATGTTTGCTGATTACATTTACCAAAATTTTCATGTCTGAATTTGGATGTGTGTTGTTGTGGCTGGTTAAATGAGTCCTGTGACAAAATATTCTATTTTTTTATTTTTAAATTGAGCAAGAACTATGAAAAAAGATTCAACAATGTGTAAAATACTCGGGGGACATACCACTAACAAAACTAGACAGAAAGTCACAACGATACTATACATAGAGTATAATCCATTCCAAAATTCAAACAAATTCGAATCTGATAATATGAATCAATGTATTTAGATACATTTTCTCAGTCATTTTATTCCCTAGCTCTTTTATCCTATAAATTTCTTCTGGGATCGCTTTCGTTTTGAGACGAAAGTGTACCATATATGTAATTCGCTATGGTTTAGCGTTTTTGGGTAGCATTGATGTGAACCCAGACAAAATTTTCAACACACTTGAGTACATTCCCAAATTTCTTATTTTCCATCAAATATTACTATTCAAATATTGAATAAATGCAATATATTTACATGTAGAAATGCTTTGAATGTGCTCTTCTTTTGAAAAGATGCTTTCACGCTGCCTCTCCCACTCTGCAAATCGGTGACTTAGGCTGCAACAACCCTAGTTCTTTGGATAGAAGCTATTGTAGGTTGCCAAATACTCTGCTTTTCCCACTTGAAACAAAAGAAAGTTGTACTCTTTATGCTTGGTTTTTTGTGATGACTAGGTTGGTATCAAAGTCAATGTTCTCAACTTTGGACACTGAGAATATGATACCATGGCTTTATAAGCTTTCTCTACACCAATAGCACCCATGACTCTGATATTCAGATCATTTAGGTTCTGTTTGCAGTATGAATTTGGATAGGAATTTGGAAAGAGAAAGAGAAAAAGTGTGTGAAATGTAATTATATTTTATTTACATTTTACTCAAAATTTTCTTTTTCCTTTCCAAATCCCTACCTAAATCCATACTCCAAACACAACGTTAGTTTTCTAAATTATTGTTCCAAAAAGCATGAAAGCTGTGTTCCAAGTCCAAACTCTCCACTTCCATCTATTGAATGCTGTCTTTACCTCCTCATAGAAGGTGATGTAAAGTAGTTCCATAGAGTGAACAAGAAAATAAATTTTTGTGGTGCAGTGGCGGTGGTGGAGGTGGGCTGGTGGTGTAGCAGTGTTGGTAAGATTTTAGTTTGGAAAACATTAAGATTGTTTTTTGTAGATTTTCATTTTTTGTCGAATCAGAAGTCAGAAAATGCTTTTAAAAAATGTTTTTTGTTCATTAATTTTCTGAAAGGTTGCATAAGAGAATTGGTAGGTAAAAGTTTGATTCCTTTTCTTTTCCTATTGTGAGAAAAGTTGAGATATCGAAAGCAAAAGCCACTTTGTAGTGCACAGGAAAAGAAGTCTTTCTTGCCAAGACAAAAGAAAGAGTAGGAAAATAGAAATATCTGAGAGTTTGACACTGAAATCTGTAAATCAAGTGATAAAAGTACCACTGAACAAAGATTTAGAAAAGGCAAACAAATTAGAAGATAAACTAATAAAATATAATCATAATTTATTTTAATTTTTTATTTCCTTCCCCTTTTTTTTCCTCCACCCATCTCTATCCAAAACTATTATCCAAACACACCCTAAATAAACCCATCCCTGATTGTGACAAGTTTTTTTAGAACATATGGATACAAAACAAACCACATGGTTTTTATGAATGGTTTTGTGTCCATAGAATTATTGTTTTGAGAAAAAGTCGTCTTGAACTCGTACTCTTTAATGGTGTAACTGGTTTGCAAGGATATTAAGGAAAGAGACAGAAAGAAAAAGTAAAGGAAAAGATGAAAAAAAGAAAGTCGTTATTCCCATTCCACTTTGCTCTAAATACACTTCTTTTTATGTGTAATAAGGACAAAGAATGGAGTCTATTATTTGGAGCAAAGTGGAGTGGGAATATCGCCTCCCCAAAAAAATTATATATGCATACATACACATATAGGCATCTGATTCTATGAACTTGTGGAGCAGAGCATAGTTTTGTGGGAGAGAGAAAGTAGCTTTGTGTCTCATTCATCATATCATCCACACAGGGGAAAGAAAAATTCCAGATGGTATTGTATTTATGAGAATCTGATTCTATTTCACAATAATTCTGATTCTATAAGAGCTTTTCTTTATCTTCTTTCTTTCTTTCTTTTTTTGTTTCCACAAAGTGTCTTAACAGATTGTTTTTGGGACCATCTTGTAGTATTCTTCTTCTGCAACTAATTCATTAATGGTTGATGTTGAAATTTAGGGAAACATTTGGAGAGAAAGCAGTTTCTATGATATGCATACATACACATATAGGCATCTGATTCTATGAACTTGTGGAGCAGAGCATAGTTTTGTGGGAGAGAGAAAGTAGCTTTGTGTCTCATTCATCATATCATCCACACAGGGGAAAGAAAAATTCCAGATGGTATTGTATTTATGAGAATCTGATTCTATTTCACAATAATTCTGATTCTATAAGAGCTTTTCTTTATCTTCTTTCTTTCTTTCTTTTTTTGTTTCCACAAAGTGTTTTAACAGATTGTTTTTGGGACCATCTTGTAGTGTTCTTCTTCTGCAACTAATTCATTAATGGTTGATGTTGAAATTTACGCTGTGTTTGGTTGGGGGATTTAGAGAGGGATTTGGAAAGGGAAAGGGAAAAGGTGTGTGAAACTAGGTGAAATATAGGCATGTTTTATTTACATTTCACCTATCTTTTCCATTTCCCTTTCCAAATCCCTCCTCAAATCCCCCAATCAAACATAACATTAGGGAAACATTTGGAGAGAAAGCAGTTTCTATGGATTTAGGCAGTGTTCAGTGTACTAGAAATAAGGTTGAAATAGAATCATTTACTCCATCATCAAAATATTTATCATCGAAACTGGACTTAAGAAGTTTCTCATTACAAAAGCAATTATTCTTCATGCACAGAATCAGATACAACTTTATCATGTGAGGTAAGATTCACGAATTTAATAAGTATCCTCTCATATAAGAGAATTATATCTAATTCTGTGTACTTAGAATTTTTCTTACAGAAATGATGTTAAGTGCAACAGTTTTGCAAATAGTGATGTTATACAGGTGGAGTCCACTAGACACAAAGTCAATAAAATTCACATTAATAAATAAAAGACTCAATAAATTTGTGTCCAGTGAAAAAATTAAAAATAAGGCCTAGTTTGGGAAGACTAAATAAGTGCACTCGTTGACTTTTTATGAAATATGGGTTGGGTTTGGTTGGATTTGAAGTGATGTGTTAGAGAGATGATGTGACTTAAATAAGATGATGTGACTTAAATAGGATACTCATTTTTTGACTTTTTGTCTTTTTTGTCTCATGCCAAACTTGGCCTAAACATCTATGTATGAATTTTTCTTTTAAGATAATGATTATACCTCTCCAACACCATAGATTGAAATAAAAAAAAAATAAATAAATAAAAAAACCAGTAAAAAGAAAAGATTTAATGAAAATATGTAATTACAGTAACCCTCTACTATGTGTGTCTAGTGCTCCCAACCAATAAAGTTATATAAAATGAGATAAATAAGATAAATGAGATTGGGTTGGTTTGGCACGTTTGAAAAAAGATAAAAAGTCAAAAAGTCACTGTCCTATTTAAGTCACATTATTTTATTTAAGTCACATCACCTTTCTAACACATCACTTTAAATCCAACCCAAATCTAATCTATATTTCATAAAAAGTCAAAAAGTACACTTATTTAGATTATCCCAAACAATCCCAATCGATTAAGATGAGTTAAATTAGTCTCTCACATCATATAACTCGAACTCATATAGTTCAATAACATCAACTTGCTGTACAAAATTAATACTCTAAAATTACTAAAAATTATTTGTATAATCTTATATTCCAAATTAATAGGATATTAAGGAGTAGGGCATGCCTGAACTCACAAATATCATTGGAGTGAGACAGGTTGGGCCGAGAGTAGTACCATGCCACATTTTCAATAAATTTAGATGCACGGTCTATTTTAGCCGTTGCTTTGTCCCCATTCTTTCTTTCTCTTTTTTTCTTGTTCAGATCTTGAATTCACGTCGTGTTTGAGAAGTTATTATTTTAATAATCTATTTTAATTTTTTGTCTATCTCAAAACGTTAAAATTTTTGTGTGTTTAGAAAGATAGTTAAATTTTTTTGTAATTGAGGTCTCGTTTGGGAACCTTCCCTTTTAGTCAAAAAGTCAAAAAGTTACTAAATTAACCAAAAAGTCAATAACTCATACCAAAAAGTCATAAATTTTTTTTTCCCTCTACTTTTTGCACATCTTTTCGTAAAAAGTCAAAAAGTCATCTTAAACATATATATTAGTTTTTTTTGGCTCATATTTTAGTCAAATAGCCAAAAAGTTACTAAATTAGTCAGTTCCCAAATGAGGCCTGAATGTGATGTTTGTGAGAGAAAAAATAAAATGATTATAGATTTAATGTGATATTTTATCTTATTAACTATTTTAGTCTATTTTATCTTTTGGTGGATTTTAGTAAAAAATGCTAAAATCCAACTTGCTAAACACCCCCATTGGAACTGTGCAAAATATCATCCAATTTGCTAAAAGCACACTGATCTGCATCAATCTGCACAGCTCTATCCGTTAATCGCAGTTTAGATTTTAAAATTTATAATCGGCGTTCGAAACCGTTTCACTCCGCTAAAGTTAATATATATTTTTTAATCCATAATGAAATATTAAAGCAATAAGTGTGAGAGATTTAATATGCAAAATTTATTATAAAGTAATAGTTATATATATGAAAAATATTATATAAAATAAGTTTGTGTTATATATATAAAAAATATTATACAAATTTGTGTTATATATTATACAAAGACTTGCTAATTAGTTAAAATATTATTCAATTCACCAATCCACTCAAAACGGCTTAAATTAAAATTTATCAATACGTTAATCCGTTATTTAATTTATAATTTTACTTTCAAACCACGTAAATCACATCGCATACACCCATCTACTAACCTTCCTCTGGAAGGGTTTATTAAATAACCCATTAAACTTGTAGGCCACATACACGAGGACTCATTAATTTACTGTACTGCAATAAAATTAATTAATCTTTTTAACTGGACATCTTAGGACTAAATTAAATAAGATTATCATGAAAATTCATCTTAGTTTGGTGCATCACTCTTTTCTAAACTGCACATACTTACCCCTCTTTGCTTCTCTCAAAAATCATAATAAAAAATAATATAAAAAAAAGAAGAGAGAGAGAGAGAGAGGATAATACTAGTGTTATGTATCATTTTCATTAATTAAACACTAATGCAAACTCCCTCCAAAAAAATAAAAATAAAATTAGAAGAAGAAGAAGAAAAGAGAAAAGTGTTCAAAATGCAATGTGCCCATCTAAGATGAATGTTATATTCTACACAATTTTTTAAAACAGGTTGGGAATTTTAACAATTAGCCAATTGTGAGCAACCTAACTAATGACTCTCAAACAATGCAAGTACCCTCATGATCAGGTTGAGAATTCGAATAACTACGGCTGTGTTTGTTACGCTCTGGAACGTTAGTTTTAAGGTTGATTTAAACAGGGCGTTTGTTTATAAATTTTAAAAATTAATTTCATGTTTACTTTTGAAAACGTGGTTGAAGGCAAGAAAATTTGAACTAACCGGTCGTCCGGTCGGTTGACCGGAACAGTATAATTTTTTTTTTTTTTTGCAATTGACACATGTTTATTTTTATATATTTAATAAAATATATTTTCTGAATTTTTTATGAGTTTTAATAGAATTTTGAGTTGTGTGTTTGGTTATGAGTTGTAAGTTTTTCTATAAAATATCATATGTCACATCAAAAATTCTCCACTCAATTCAAAATTTTTTTTAAAACTCATTCACCAAACAAATTTTTCACACTCTAATCATAATTCTAAAACTCACAAATTTAAAATACAACTCTATTTTCAAATCATATTTAAAAAATTATACCAAACACAACCTACATGTCTTGTCCACAGAGAACCCAATAAGTGTGTGGACATACTAGTTAATCAAGAAAATTAAACTATTAATGAATCGTAATTTTTTTATCATATCCGTTATTTCCTTAAAATCAATTGTATGATAATGTCAAGAAATTGAATACCAGCAAAATTATAAATTAACTTTGTTTATATTAAGTTCGACTTTAACAACACAGTAAAAGGCTCATAACTTACGTCGAAATGTTTGACTAAGAAAATGTCAAAAAAAAAAAAAGACTTTTAATACTAAACAATTTAATTGAGACCCCTTCCCTTCCCCTTCCCCCCCCCCCAAAAAAAAAACGTCTACAAATGGACTATAATTTATTTTTTTTTATTTTTGTGAAAAGACATTTAAAAATATGAAAAGAGTTGTCTTTTTAATTTTTAAAAACCAACTTTTTAGTTATATTTCGTTTAAAAACATGTCATTTTAATAATTTTTAATTAAAATATGAAGTGAAAAAATTAATATATTTAGAATCACTTTTTTATTTTTATAAAAAAATGTGTAAAAAAAAAAAAAGAATCTTTAACTTTTTAATATAAATTATAAATTTTTTAACTTTTAAATTAAAACAAGTATATGCCAAACGAAATCTTTGTCATTATCGAACAACAACGATCTAATGTGTGGAAAAAAATTATAAATAAGTATAGAAGGACAAAATATTTCACATGTGTATAAGTTTCACATTTGTGTAAGAGACTTAGGTGTTGTTTGGGAAGGACTTATTTGGTTCTTTGAGCCACAAAAGACAGAATAGGTTATTTGAGCCACAACATACAAAACATCGCATCCAACCCATAATCATTACACTCTTCTCTCACAAAAAAAGTCAAAAAGTCAAAAAGTTATTCTCAAACCAAGCTTTTGAGCCCAAGCTCAAATAATCAAAAAAGTTAAAAAATCAAAAAATTAACTCACTTCCCAAACGGAGGCTATAAAATATTTGGTAGATTATTTGAAATCTCTAATATCATTTTTTATTTGGTGGGTACACTACCTGAGGTGGCAGACAGTCATGGGTTCATTTGGATAGGAGTATGGTAGGTAGAGCACCCCACATTGGATTAGCTACTCCCATTGGTGATTTTAGCATGGGCCGGTGCCACCAGCTTCTTCAATTGCAGTGGACCCTTCTCTCCTCTCTCTCTCTCTCACTCTCGTCCATATGAGCTTCAAGCTCCAAAAGCAGAACAACCAGTCCAGTTTCAAACACACTCTCTCCTCTCTAAAAGTTGAAATGCAGATTCCCTAAATCATCATCACCACAGCTTTGAATTCCAACATTTAATCCCCAAAATGAAGGGAATCGATATCTTCTGCGCATCCCAATCCTCAACCGCCATACGCCTCACCATGGACGAAGCCTCATCTTCATCATCGCCGCCCATCCATCTCGGCGGCGGAAGAGCCATCGACCGCCACAATCCCATCATCAGAGACGCCAAACGCATCGGCAAAGCCCTGCCTCTTCCGCCGTGCACTTCTCAACCACCGCCTATAGCTCCGATTCCCTACAATCACCTCCACCGCAAGGGCCGAAAGAGCTCTTCATCGAAATCAGATGATCAGACCACTAAGAAGAGCTCTTCGAAATCGACCGGTAAGAAGAGCTTTGCGAGTGATGTGAAAAGGAAGAGTGGTGGTGATTTGATGAGTCCTGTTGGTTCTTCTAGGTATTTGTTGGCTGGTGGGGGTGACAAGAGTAATTTAACGGAGATGGTATCTGATTTTGACCCTGTTTTGACATTGGTTCCAGTGGATTCTATTAACAACTCTCAGGCTCTTAAAACAGAGGACTCCTCTGCTTCAAATTCAAAACCTCCATCCTCCTCCTCCCCCTCCTCTCGCTCTCCTCACCAGGTTCTCTCTCTCTCTCTCTCTCTCTCTCTCTCTCAGTAGTGTTTAGCTCGTTAAAAGTTGAAGACATTTTGTGATTCATTCAAATCTTATATCAAACTTGAACAATTAATTTTTCATTTGATTCAGATCGATAAGCTTAAAACTATATAAAAATATAAATATTTTGAGTCTGAGTCGACAAAAACTCATTTAAGGTTAAGTCAAAAATTTAACAAATTAAGCTTCGTCAAACTTTTTAAATCAAGTTTAAATAGTTAACTATTTGGGTCCTTTCACTAGTTTTTCACTCTTAATAGTTCGTAGAAAAATAATTTTTGCAACCTTAAATTTTATACATGAAATCTCGATGAATTAGGTAATAGTGATAATATTTTGATTTAAAATTAAAAAAATATAAATCCATCATGTCAGTATATATTTTTGGTATATTTTTTATATCAATGTATCTATGTATATAAATAGAATTTTTGTACATATATGTAATATAAAATTTTATTATTATTTTTATTCAAATCAAAACTCTGGACTCTATATATATAACTTTAAATTAGAACAATTGTGGCACATAATTTAAAAAATTCCAAATACTTGTGCTATATTATTCTAACTGTGTATTCTGTTTAAAAATTATGTTCATATAAAATATGTATATGTTAGACACACGATCCAACTGTAAACTTAAATTATGGTCCATTGTGACGAGCACAAATCCTCCCCTTGCACTCCCTCCTTGCAGGGCTTTTGGATCCACTTTTAGGCCCAATTTTGATAATCTGAACTGTTTATATTTTAAGATTTATTTACTATATCATACCTGTAAAAAATCAAGTTGATCGGATATCAGAAAGCATGTGTTTGGAAAAATCAAACTAAAAACTATTTTTTTAAAGAATTTAATAAATAGTTTTCCGAACACATTTTTCTGATATTCGATCAACTTAATTTTTTACAGGTATGATATACTGAATAAATCTTAAAATATGATCGGTTCGAATTATCAAAATTGGGCCTAAAAGTGTGCCCGAAAGCCTTGCAAGGAGGAAGTGCAAGGAGGGAGTGCAAGGGAGGATCCCAATTCCATTGTGACTTGTTATGAGGCGTGTTTCACCAAAGGTACTTCAATGTAAGAAAAAAGGACAATCACTTCCGAAAATTTTAGAAACAAATTAACAGTGTGTACCACAAAATGAGGCTTTTTGAAAACAAATGAAAACAATTCCCTGTAAATTTTTGTTTTTAACAATTAAAACAAAAAAAAAAATGAAAAAACTATGCCTAGCAAGTGGGAAATGAAACATATTTTACATGTTAGTACAACCCATGCTTTTCGTGTGGGCTTTTGTGAATCATATTTGTATATCATGTTGTTGTTGTTGTTGTTGAAGATCATAAAGATGCTGATTATAAAGGTGAAACAGAAGTGGGCCTAAGGGGGGTGATGGTGGGGTATTGAGATTTTTAATGGAGGTTTTTATTGCTATTTGTAGCAGGTGGTTGTTTTGAGGGTTTCACTGCACTGCAAGGGCTGTGAGGGAAAAGTGAGGAAACACATCTCTAGAATGCAAGGTATGCATACCTCCTGTTTGAGCAATTCCAGTGGTAAAAGTTAAAAAGAAAAAGTCTAGTTGCACAGAAGGTTTCAAACACAGAATATACAGATGTGAATAATTTTTGTCTCATATATGTGCATTTGGTGTTTGAAACTTTCTGTGCACATAGCACAGTTGAAGTTAAAATGATTTCGTTAAAGTGGTTTTTTTAGTCATACTATTGTAATAGTCACGTGCTATTTTGAAACAACTTATTCCATATCAATTTTTTATATTCTTCAAAATGTATCTTGTGATCATGATTTAGTTTTGTTAATGTGGCAAAAATAGCTTTGTCAAACTTGAAGCCGGATTCAGTTCAAGATTTGGCTTTGTTATTTTTTGACAAGGTACTTGGCTCACTACTGGAGATGAATTTTTTGGCAAACCTTATGGCTTTGTTTTTGGAGTTGCTCTTACATTTTAGTTTTGGTAATACTACAAAAATAATAATATTGAAAAACTTAACTTATTTACCTAGATATTTTAACAGCACCCTCCATTTGGGAAGGAGGATCCTGAATCCTCAATCTTAACATTACTTCTCACAATTGTCATCATATTGCTAATGATTCACAGGGGTGACATCATTCAACATAGACTTCGCAGCGAAAAAAGTAACGGTGGTCGGGGATGTAACGCCATTAGGGGTCCTTGCAAGTATATCGAAGGTGAAAAATGCACAGTTGTTGACCCCTGCTGCAGCTACAAATGCAATGCCATCTTCAGTCCCTCCTGCAGCAGCGTCTAACTCCAATACAACTTACTACTCATCAGAAGTATCAAGAAAGGCAAAGGAGTTGTTGGTGGTAAATGAAAATTATCGAAAAGCTAGGGTTTAAATGTGGTGAGCAAAATGCTGTAATGTAAGTCTAGTGTAAATGCAGACTTGAGTAGCCAAATCAGAATCTCCCTTTGTCTAGAAGAAAAAAGTAAATTAATAAGAGATCACTTTCTTGGCTTATTAATTAGCTATGGATTGGGTATAATGGAGCAGTAAGTACTTTGATTGTATAAAACGATAATATTGTTTTTTGGTCCTTTGTGATTAAAATTTGATAATTTAGGCATTTTGGCCCATCTTCAACACTTCCCCATTAATTTGCAGCTATATTTCCATGCTTGTGTACTTTTCAATGAATATGAAAGTATTGACTCAATCCCAGAGTTTCTAGCTAAAAGAAGTCGGGAGAAGAAAGATATATGCATATTTTTTTAACCAACCATATATATTTAGATAATTAAGAACTCAGCCTAAACAAAAAATTTTGAACCGATCCCAAACGTGTATAAACTCAGGGTTTTGAGGCCATTTTGTAGGCCTATAAACCAGGTTGCTGAAAAAGAAATCAAATCTTAAACCTCCTAAATAGAATCATGGGGATTAACCATTCATATTATTCCTCAACGATTCTAACAAAATGTATTACCACAATTATTCCAACATATGTTGACAAATCTTAAATTCTAATTATTGGTTCCAAATTAGACAATCATCCATATAGAGATGTTGGTTTGGCACTACAAAAGATTGAACAAACCATGGACAAATCTTTAGGGCATGGTAACACGAGTTGCCGGACAAATCGTAACTTATTTACTGTTTTAGTCTATTTGTTAAGATTTTGCTTTCACTCATAACAATTTAAGATGCCAAAAAAACCTTTCATGTAAATTTAGATTAAAGTGCAAGACTAACGCCATTAATAGAAAATGTAAAATTTGAATTTTTTCTCCAACTTCATAATTTTTTTGGTCCATTAAAAGTACATATGCAGATATATAAATTAGATTATGTCATTAAAAACATACACTAATGGAAGAATTGGAGGCATAACACAATCAATTTATCTCGCTAATAGGTCACTATTTTGACCCTCTATCTTGTGAAATCTAACTTAATCTTAAATTATGTATGAGTTTATATGTCTTCTGCTTGGAATTGGCTTTTTTAAAATTATGTAATAGTTTTTTAATAGTTTGTATGTCTTCAGTAATTTTTTTTTCACATTTTTAAAAACCTTAAGACTTTAAGGTTTTACTCGATTAGACCAACTAGACAATTAAAAAAATTTTAAAACAATTCCACTAAAGACAAAGTTGTCAAAAATAGTTGACATTTTTTACTTTTTTATATCTTTGTTACGTTTGGTTGGAGGATTTGAAAAAAGAAAGAAAAAAAGTATGCGAGATATAAGTATATTTTATTTAGATTTCACATTTATTTTCCAAACACAATTAGTGACTTTTTTTTTGTGTTGATATTTTCAATTTTTTTTTTACTTCTTAGATTCTTCTACGCTCAATGGCTTAGAAAAGTAAAAAATTGACATAAATTATCAATTTTCAAAGTAAAAAAGTGTTTTTTTAAAAAAAAGGAGTAAAAATTTCCGACCTGCCGGATTCGAACCAGCGACCTAAGGATACCAGACAGGCAATAACCCACTACAGTCCTCCGCTCTGCCAACTGAGCTAAGGTCGGCTTTTAATACTTTTGTTTACAAAAACAATATATATAGTAAATATTATTTTCAATAATGACTATATCTATATATATAATATATTTTTGGATATGTTACTTTGACCATTTTTGAAGTTTACAAAAAATATAATAATCCTCACAAATTTGATATATTTATACCAATCAGCTCCAATGTTAATAATGGGTTATTTTTAGAATATGATTAAAAGCCATCTTTCAACTTTTAATTCATTTTGGGTTATATCATCTCTAACATTTTTTACACATTTTTTCAAAAGAAAAATCATAAAATCAATTTTTAACCATCTTATCAAAACAACCCAATGTTAAAATGATGGAAACTAATCTAGATGGATGTAGACACATGGATAATTAATGATAATACATATATATATATATATATATATATTTCAATATAAAAAAGATAACAACATTATTTTTTCACTTATACGATTAATGAAAAGTAACAAAGTATTAACTAAATTAAAACATTATGAGAGCATTGTGTAATTATTTCAGATTTTGGGGGACTTTATGTATTTTTTTTTTCTAAACCCCCAACCCAAGGGAGGTTGTGTAATTAACTTTATGAGTTGACATAAATTATTTTTCATTTTCAACGGAAAAAATTGTACCAAATATGCATAAATTCTCAAAATTAAGCAAAAATCATAATTAGACTCAATAAATTACATCAAATGGGATCCATAGAGTTGGAAGGGATCAAGTTCTTACTCAATTTTGATTTGTTTTTTCAAAAATTATTTTTAGATGGATTTAGAGAATTATATATATATATATATATTTTGGTCAATTTTTGTAACCTTTTAAATACATTATGTTTAGATGCATCTAAAAAATTAAAAAAGATTAACTAAAATACAGGGAAAAAATCACTAAAAATGATTGAAAATTTGAACAAAAATGCACACACGTTTTGTTTGGATTTTTGTTAATTTTTCATGTACTCTTGTCATATTTTAATCAATTTATTTTATATTTTAAATGCATTATAGATTAAGTATATTTAAAGAATAACCAGAGTACAATTCACGTGAACTATTTTTTCTGTCAAATTCAAATAAATATTGTGATGCTAAGAGGTTTTAAATGATTTATAACTATATTTAGCTTCCGTTTGGGAAGTGGGTTGGCTTTTTGGCTTTTTGACTTTTTTGACTATTTGAGCATGGGCTCAAAAGCTTAGTTTGGGAAGAGTTTTTTGATTTTTTAGCTTTTTTGACTTTTTTTTGTGAGAGATGAGTGTAATGATTATAGGTTGGATATAATGTTTTGTCTGTTGTGGCTCAAATAGCCTATTCTGTCTTTTGTGGCTCAAAGAGCCAAAAGAGCCTAAATGAGCTCTTTCCAAACGACACCTTAATGCAATAGAGGGCTAGTTATAACTGTGGTTATTTTTTATTTTTTTCAGACTTCAATCACAAGTTAAATAAACTTATTCAAACTCAATTTTCATTCTTCAAAGTTTAATTTCTTAACCAGCCAAGCTAGAAAAATCAACCTCCACACATTGTAGTGAAAAAGTAAACTAAATATAAAATAAATTTTTGTTCACTTTTTTCCTTTTTTTTTTCCCTCTTTCTTTCCCAAATTATTTTACAAAATCCAAACACACCTAAAAACGAAAACAATTAAAATGAGATATGGGACAAAACTACAAGAACTCTATAATCTATTGCCGCTTCTGCAATGAAAAAACGCTATGCAACCATCATCAACAAATTTAGTGTCCTATGCAACTATGCATACTGTGTAGCACCTGTACCTTTCAAAGCTTTTGGAGAAGTGTATTCGAATTTTTTATTTTTATTTTTATTTTGGAAATCTTTGGTGTTGTTGTACGTTGGTTTTGTTGGAGTATAATCCGATTTAAACTCGTTGGGTTTGGTTGTTCACACTTATTCTTGTCAAAAGTTCATTGGAGACTTAGAAATTCCATTCTAGGGTCGACACCAGTCTTCCTAAGGGTCGACCCTTACCTGTTGGTGAAATTTCTGGGAATGTTGCTGAAAATAGGGTAGACACCAGACAGGGAGAGGGTCGACCCTCTTATGTCTGTGTGTTAGTTGCAGGAAGATAGGGTAGACACCAGACTGGAAGAGGGTCGACTCTCTTATGTGTGTGTGTTGGTTACTAGAAGATAGGGTCGACCCCCTCCTATCTAAGGGTCAACCCTGCCTTTTTTTTTTTTTTTTTTCTCCAGATTTTTGAGGTCCAAATGGGCCCTATCTAAGGGGGGTTTTGGGCCCATTATTTTATTTGGCCTTAGGGCTTTTCCTCACTACTATAAATAAGCCCAAACCATTTTTCTCTCATGATTTTCCTTCTCTTTTTCCTCTTAAACCGTGATTTCTCTCTTCTCTCTCTAAAACCCAAACTTTTTCACTTAAATCTCTAGATCTACTCACCTAGAGTGATCTTTTCACCTTGCTTATTTGAGATAAAGTGTAGAGCTTGTCAATGGTTTCGTTTTGGTCGGGGCAAAACGTGGTTTTGTCGCCATCGACTTTTGAGCTTTCTCTTATCTCTCTCATCTAAGCTTGAGGTAGGGATATTCTACTCTTTAATATGAGCTTTAACCTAGATATTTGCCATTTTGTATAAATGGTGGGGTTTGGGAAGATTTTGGTAAAAGTTAAGGTTTGGGTTCTAAACTAAAGAGGTTTTTCATGTTGATTTACAAAGTAACCTTGGGGGTTTGTGTATGAGGTTCTTTATTGCTGAAGTGGTGAGATTTAGACTTATGGGTTGATATTTTGGAAAAAAAAGGAAATTTTGCCCCAAGTTGAGTTGAAATAACTATTTTATGTAAATAATGAAATTGGTTTAGGAATTATGAAATTGGGGGAAATGTGATTGAATGGTGTAGTTTGGTTTGATAAATCACACACCTATGGAATTTGATAAATTATCTGTTAATAATTTATTTATCTGTTTAGATATATCTGTTTTGGGCCATTGGTGGAGGATAACTATGATTGTTGTAGAAATTGTATGAGAATTAGGATGATTGAAACTAATCAATTGGATTATGTCATTGAATATGACGGTTTGATTAAACCATTGAATATGTGTTTTGATTAGTCATTGTATATGACAAAGTGTTTGAATATATTGCATATGTATCTTTGTTTGAGAGGAGATAGGGGATGCACTCCATTATTTGGGAGGAGATAGGGGATGGACTCCATTGATAATTAAGTTGGCTGGAGTGTCCAAGGTGAAAGTCCCGAAATCTTATATATTTATGGGTGCCGGTTCCCTCGGACGTGGTTTCGTAAAATGGCAAGAAATAAAAGTATTGGATTTGATGAATGTATTGAATTATGAACCATTGAGTTGTAGTCTCATATTGGTTGCTTGATAATAATGAATTTGGCTAATTGATTTACCCGAAATGGTAGAATGGAAATGAATTGAGATATTGGTTATCTATATTGAATGACCTTGAAAAGAATATGTGTTGGTTGAGAATGTTGCACGTTTATTTGATGCTCATATTTTAGTTAATTCTCATGTATGGTTTAGCATATCTTTACTGGACTTTGGCTCATCCTACTTAGGAAACCATTTTCAGGTACAGG